AGCCATCCCCCCGAAATGCGAACATCGTCTTCGGCTTTGCCCCTCGGGGGGGGGGGGGGGGGGGCAGGGCGGGAACCCGCTTAGCCTGTGACTGCCTGCCCTTGAGCCCCCGCGCTCGATGGGCGCGCCAGTTCTACTTTCCAACTCTAACTCCATGGTGTCCGGAAAACAAAAAAAGAACCTTCCATGCTCTGGCCAGCACCCCCCCAGGCGAGGGCAACCTGCTCGCGGTCGGCACTGCGGCTCGACTCCTCAGCGACCGCTCGGGCCAGACCAATCGATCGGGAGGCGCGGGGTGCGTGCGCGGGGGGGCGGGGGGTGGGTGGGGGGGGGGCGCGCGGGGGCCAGCGGGGAGCTCAACTGGCAACCTCTGGTGCGCTTGGTAAACAAGCTGCTGAAATTTCGAAGCCCCAGGCCTTGAACGGAATTGAACAGGTCGATGGGACCGCTTCGGCCACGCGCCGCCCACCTCGGCGGCCTCGACCCGCCGATGCCATAACATAATCGATATTGGTGCTCGCTTTCGGGGTTGCACAGGTTTCGATACTGGGCTGCAGAATCACCATCGAAGCTTCCCGAGGCATGCCCGACGCCTCTGCAACAAACGCCGAGAAGTTCCAATCCGCTGCGAACGCCGACAAGCGGGCCCCCTCAAGGGTCGACCCTGCGCGCTTTGAACAAGTGAGGTTCCGCTCGCTCAGGCCCTCGCTGGCGTGCATGCGCGCGCAACCTACGAGCAGCTCGGGCCATCGTGATATGTCGATCGTAGCAAAAAATCGCCTGTGAGAAACAAGTATTCCACGTGGCAACCTCGACGGCCTCCCGAGGCCCACCGAGGGCATCGCAAGGATGGCAGCTCCAGCTGATATCTGCCCTCCTGCACACTTAACCGACGGACCGCGCGACGCGTTCCACCCCGGACTCTTCGCCGCGGCTGTCCTCGCAGCCAGGTCATATTCAGTTATGCCCGCTTCCTGCGCAAACACTACCAGCGCCCGTGTGCTGAAACACCAAGCCAGTGCACATGGGCCACAAGTGTGGCCTGACACGTGCCTTGGCTGCCACAAATCTGAGAACGAGGCGGCTCACGGCACAATGGCGGCTAAGCGGCACCACTGTGCATCTGGTCACCTTTGTACGTCGAATTCGCTGAAAGTGACGCCCTGACCGTACTGCAGCACGTCGAGGAGGTACCACGCTGCCTTCAAATCATCGAAAAGTCTGCTGGTGCAGCCACTTCAACTCACACACGTACGAATAGAACCACACAGCAGCATCAGGCATAATGTCAGCCATCTCGCTTGCCTGCTCCGTGGTCACTCTTCAGCTCGCCCATGCCGGGTTGATGCTATAGGCTCGCCACCTTCGGCTTCTTGGGCTCGGCGCCAAGGCAGGCCTGGGTGAACGCCCTTTTATAGCCACTACGCTTCTCTCAGAAGGCCTCAGCAGCTGCTTCGTCTTCGAAAGCATCGTCAATTTGGGTGTCGTGCGGGGTGGGCACCCGCTCCCCATCAGCGACTTCCTCTTCGCGAGGTGCACCTGCGCCTGCGCGATCGCCACGAGCAGCAGCCCGATGATCAGCGATCAGCTTCGCAAACTCCTGAAACTCGGGGGTGGCGAGCATGATCTAAATCGCGCCCTTACCCTTCAGCATGTCGGGGGGCCGGTTGAATTCCAAAGGCTGCTTGCTGCCACCAGCATCACCAACAACAGGACGAAAGAAGGACTGGATGTGCTGCCGCTGCAACTCTGCCACCTCCGCCGGCTCCGCAACCTTGCGTGCCTGGATCTCGGCCGTCTTGGCGTTGATCTCCTCGAACATCTGGTGATGTTCCTCTAGCTCCGCCGTGACCTTCTCCAGCTTGGTTGTAGCACGCGCGAGCCTGTGCCCAACGTTCGTGTGCTGGGTCATGTTCGGATTATTGCTCTCGATCCCTGTGCACACCAGCTTGAGCTTGCCCTGAAGTAGCGTGCGCGCCTCCGCTGCGTCCTCGGCCTTGCCACAGGCCTTGATCGCCGCCCCAACTCTCGCACTCGAGCTAGACATGGGTCGGGCTCCTCTCCAGCGCCTCCGCTGGCCTGAGCCACACACTGTGTTGCCTTCCTGCAACTTGCCCGCCTGTGGCACCGCGGGCAGGTTTGGAAGGGCATCCGCCTGGGAGCTGGTCTAGCTTCTTCTACAACTCGGCCATCTGGGACTCCAGCTTCCCTCGCGACGCGAACCCGATGCGGGCGGACGGCCATGGGCCATGCCCAGGGCCGCAGCCTGCATGCCCAAATGCTCGTGCGCCCGCACCCCTGACACCCCCAGAACGGGGTCTTCGGTCCGCGGACCACGTCGCCGTCATTCATGGAGGCCGCTGCCGCACAAAAGTGCCGCACGACCTATGCCCTCGGAGCGCCGAGGGACGAAAAGGAGTGCTCCAGCCAGGAGCTCACTGAAAGCTAGCTGAGGCAGCGAGGCCTGCGGAAGGGGCTGCCCTCAGCCTCGAGCCTCTGGACTCGGGACGGGATGTAAGCTCCGTCTTGCGCCAAAATGGCTACGCGCCAGACCTATGCTTATCAATGCGATTGTTTGCAACAGTGCGTCCTGTGGGGGAGAGCCCGCCTGCTCGAAACAAGCGCCCGAAACAGCCAAGATCTACTCTATAGGGAGGGGAGGGGGGGGTGCGAGGGACCGCGCCGATCGGTGAAACAATGAAACATAAAACGACGGAGGGGGCGTCCGAAGGCCCACCCCCTGCAACAACAAATCGTTCTCGAGAGTCGCCACCCCTCTTCCAGCCCCTGCTCCTTCTGCCTGGTTTGGCTACCCTTGCCATCCCTCGGACACCCATTCCTCGTGCACGTGTCGGTTTCGTGCATTTTTCTGCTGCCAGATGATCCAGGATGCTCGAGGGACATCGCCGAGAAAAACTGCACACTTCCGAGCGATGCTAACTCGCCGAGGGCCCCTTACGGGCAGAGGGGCGGAGAGGCCAGGAGACGCAGCGTTGTTTGTTCTTGTCGGAGGGGCTGCGCGGCAGAGGCGCGGCCTTGCTCCGCGGTCGTGGTCCAGCGGCACCGCAGCCCTGCAGAGTCTCTGCGACCAAAGCGGATAGCCGAATCTCCACCCTCTTGATACGCACCCCGGCAAGCGAAGCCGTTAGGTAAACGCACCTGAGGAGGGGATCGAACAGGGCGGCGCTGATTAGTAAACGCCCAGGGCCGTTTGGTAAACGCCGATTCTCGGGGTGGGGTGGTTTTCCTCCCTTGACAAAGTCTGGCAAGCTTGAGGCCTGAGAGCCCACAGGACCACGACGGCCATCTGAATGCTTAAGACCAGGGATCAGGATCACAGAGCACAAGACGTGGAGTGAGTCTCCTGACTGACGCGTCGGCGTGGGGAGGAGGGAGGGCGACGACGGAGGGAGAGGAGAACAGAGGGAGGCGGGAGCAGGAGAAGGAACGGATGAGAGATCGAAGTAGGTCGAGAGTCGAGAGACAAAAGAAGGAGGACGCCCATGAGAGGGGAGCCGGTACCCTGACCGTGGGCAAACATGGGCATGGCATGGGCAAGAGAGGGGGAGAGGGTGCATCCAATATAGAGACGCGTCCGAGTCGCCCAAACGCGCCCCGAGGCAGCCCCATCTAAATCCGTGCAAATGGCTACCTGAGACGCCCCGATGCACCCGATAGCAAGGGGAGGCGGAAGGCGAGGAGGGCGGCAGAGGGGAGAAGGAGTGAGATCAGGAGGGGGGGAGCGCGAGAGGAGAGGGAGGAGGAGCAGGAGGAGGCACGCGCAGGAATCTCGGAGCAGCAGCAGCAGCAACAACAGCGGCACAGGTCTCTGGATGACTGGGGCCGCGGGCGGGAGGGATGGGTAGAGGAACGACGCAGCTGCTTAAACATACTTTCTCGGAGGTCCGCGCGGATTTCTTGGATCGGTGCTGAACCCCCCCTCCCTGGCGCGCGGAGCACGCCAGGAGCGGCGCTGGAAGCGCCGCCAGGGGTGCCCAGCGCAGATCCAAGACATCGGCGCGGACCTCCGAACAGCATGTTTATGACGTCTCCGTTTCCCCAATCTTCTTCTCCTTCGAGAGAGAGAGAGAGAGAGAGAAGGCGCAACGCAAACCAGCAGAGTACGGCCGAAGCACGCGGAAGTCTGAAACATCATGCAGCGTGCCGGCAGCGCGGCACGCCGCACTGGAGACGAGGGCGCTCACGCGCGCCCTCATGCGGGCAGCTTGCGCGCAAGGGTCGGCGCAAGCTGCCCCGCTTTTCTGTTCTGCGCCGCTCGCGTGTATGCAACTTCCTGGCCTCAGAGGCATCCGCCACGACCAGGTGCTGAAAGCTCTTCCTTGGGTGGGGGCATGCTCTTGATTTAGGTCGGGCATGTCCCCCTACAGGCGGATTTCGGACGAAACATTGAAAGTGCCCTAAAAATACTCAAAATTGTACCCATGCGAGTGGACGTCTCGTGTCCCTGGCCCAACTTTGGTGGCCTTGAAGCCTGATACCGGGCTCGAGACACACAGACTCAGAGCCGCCATCGTTGTTTTGAGTGGCCTCCCAAATGCAGTCGCAGCAGATGGGGTCGGAAAATCGTGCCGCATCGGCGATGCATCGGCGACGCCGGCGATGCATCTGCGACGTCGGCGTGGAGATCATCGGGCTCCGCATCGAACCGCATCGCCGATGCATCGGCGATGCGGCCGAGCTCATCTGTCGCAACGCCGCTTGTTCTGAACGTGGACGGCGCCCACACCACGGCGAACCCACGGCAGGCCCTGCGTCCCGCACCCCAGGTGGACGAGGCCGCCACGTGGCAAACCCAGCGGCGAGCACACCGCGCCCGAGGCAGCGTGTGCCCCGATGCCCCATGGCGCCCTCCCCAAAACGCGAGGCCGTGCGTCGGAACAAGCGGCGCGGCGACATCTGCTCGGGCCCCTCATCCGGGAGGCCTAGAGACCTCCCTCCGCCGAGACGGGCAGCGCGCAGTCTCGGCAGGGCCCCGAGGCCTCGAAGGCCTCCAAGCCGCTGATGAGCAGCACCTGGGGGCGTCTGCTGCGCTCGCCGCTGCGCTGCGCCGCTGCGCTGCGCCGCTGCGCTGCGCCGCTGCGCAGCTGGAGGCTCCGTCGCCCGGGCATCGTCGATCGCTTGGCAGGCAGGGTGCCCATCGCACGGCTTCGGGAAGGGCTCGACTCCGCTACAGTCATCACTGCATCGGAGCCTCCAGCTGCGCCGCTGCGCAGCTGGAGGCTCCGTCGCCCGGGCATCGTCGATCGCTGGGCAGGCAGGGTGCCCCTCGCGCACGGCTTCGGGAAGGGCTCGACCCCGCTGCAGGCAGCATGCTGACACAGAGGAGCGAAGTAACGGAGGGGCGCTCCTGGCCGCGGCGAGCTTCGGCCACGAACGGCCCGCACCACGTAGCCCCTCCTGGGCCCGCAGTGGCCCTTCTATCCCAGCGTCTTGACTGTATGGCGGCGGCTCGGGCGCTGGAATGGCGACGCTCGGAGCCGTCTGATCCATCGGGGTCGGGACTTTGCACACCACGAGGCTCGTCTTAGTAGAGCTCTTGGGGTGCCGCCCTCGGAGAAACATCACTAGCATCGATGCTGAATGTGGAGCAGAACTTCTGGACGCAAAGCTGAGGATGGGGGGAGGTTGAGGAGACATGAGGAGAGAGGGGCCTCAATCATGTGATGGGAGGGGAGGGGAGCCGCACAGGAAGGGCGGGCACACGGACAGGTCGCAGAAGGCAGTGCTGACTTGGAGAACCGATAGCGGCAAAACCGCCAGAGGGACCAGAAACCACCTTCACCCCACTTCCTCACCCTCATGCTCCTCTTCTCCTTCCCGCCACCTACACGTTCGGAAGGTCGGGAACCCTCCGAAAACTCCAGAAACTACCGAATACCGTCGCAATCCTCCGATGACTCTTCCCCCTCCATCTCCCCCCCCCCCTTCTTTTCCCTCCCAGCTCCGGGAGGCTTCCCCTGAGCGCCAACGCACCGAAATATCCCGGCGACCAACAAATCCTTTGAGCCGCTATCGCTCGGTCCCTTTCCGCCACACTTCCTCTGAGAGGCTTTCTCAGAGAAGCCGAGGGCCAGACACTCTCCCCAAAGGTTAGTACGCCCAAGATCGGGGCAACAACAATGAGGCAGATGCGAAACAACGAGTGTTGCACGACCGCGATGGCGGCCGCTGCTGGGCATAATAATTCCGCTGCAGATGGACAAAGTCTGCAGCGAAACTGATAACGATCCAAATTCAGAATGGCCAGGAACGGCTGTCGATCGTGGCCCCCGTTCGCATCTTCCCCACGCTGGCTCCCCCGACCCTCCAGGAGGCTTCCTCGGATAGTCCCCCCCCGACGGTAATAGTTTTCGTGCCGTGGGCCTCCGTGGCTCTCGACCGATCTCCCAGGGGCTGGAGTAATGTTCTATGGCCCCCTGGGCACGTAGCGGGCCTCCAGAGGCCCAGCTCGACGAAAACACTGGCCTTCACGGCATGCGTTCTGCCAGACGAAAACACTGGACTTGTAAACATTCAGCGCAGACGCTCGGAGGGCCGCACGGGTTCCCCGGGTCGGCGCTGGGCCCCCCTCTGCTCACCCCTGCCCCCGGGTGCGCGGAGCGCGCTGGGGTCGGCGCTGGAGGCGTCGCCAGGGGTGCGCGCCGGGGGGCCAGCGTGGCCCCCCCTGCCCCCCAGGCTGCCGCATGGAACCCATCAGCGCGTCACAGCTGAAGAAGCGCGCCTTGGGATAAAGACGAAGGAATATAACACGCTGACGGTCTGGTGGCAACCCATGGAAGCCTTCCATACCATCTTGCTGGCCCTTGCGAATCGACGCTCATCGACGCTAATCGCCGCTAGCTGACGCTGATCAACTCCAAATCGACGCAAATTGGCGCTAACATGTCAACCGACGCTAAGCCAGTGTTTTCTCATCGATTACCAGACGCTTGCGCACGCTGGTGGGTTGTAGAAATTGGACTGCGAAGACAAACAAGGTTCCCATGCTTCTCTGCTGACTTACTGCTCAAGAAGCACAAGGCCTTCGGACAAAGAAACCCACTGGCAGCGTGTCAGTGGGGGTACTCTCTCCTTGGAGGCGGCTGGGAGGTCTGAACTTGTTGGGACCCTCAAAAAATATGCCACGAGGGGGGGATGCGCTCAAAATCGGTCCCTGGGCCCTCCTTGGGTCCACCTGGTGCAATTGTTCACCAAGGGATGGATCCCTTTCTAACGGTCCCAGTCCCAGGGTCCGAAAACGTCCCCCGGAGGCCGAGAAAGGCAACAAACAAAAAAAAGCTCGAACCCAGAACCTGGAACCACTTCCCCGCCCTTCCTGCCCGCCTGAACGATGCTGGTCCACCCCGCACCCCCAGCCTGCTCCAAGCTTGCGGGCCTCAGCTTGCAGTGTGTTTTTGGGCGCCCTCGCGCCATTCCCCCGAACAAGATCGGATGTTGCCAGGAGAGCCCCTGGCCCAGGGTGCGCCTAGGAGTTCCAGGGAGGTCCCCACGATCTCTGGAGCACCCCTCGCGAGGCCCAGAGGGCCCGATGGGGCCCCAAGATGGAGCGACAAGCTGGGGGCTCTTTGGGCCAGGGGCAGGAGATCCCAGAATCGAATCGATAAGTCGGATCGGCGATCTAAATGAATCTGATCGACGGAAATCGGCAGCCGATTCGGGAGAAGTCGAATCGGCGGAAATTGGCGGGGTAGTATGCCTCCAGTGAAACCCGAATCCAAATCGGCTCGGCAAGCCACTCCCCAACGGCCCAAGAGCGCCCACCCCAATCGAGACCCGACGTCGAAAATCGAATCGAGATCGGCAGCCATCGAAATCGAAACCGTATCGCATCGGAGGAATCGAAAGGGCCCTGCAGGAGGGCACCGCCAGCACCCCCCCCCCGACAAGAAGGGCACCGTCCCCAAGAGCGCCCACTCCACTCGGAACCCGACGTCGAGAATCGAATCGAAATCGGCAGCCATCGAAATCGAAATCGAATCGAACCCGAGGGATCGAAAGGGTCCTGCAAGGGGGGCGCCGCCCGGGCCGAGGCCCCCAGACGCCCCAGGCCCACTTCCAGGCATGGTGACTGACTGCAGCACTCGGGGGAGGAGGACGGGGACGAGGACGAGGAGGAGGAGGAGGCGGAGGAGGAGGAGGAGGAGGCGGAGGAGGAGGAGGTGGAGGAGGAGGAGGCGGAGGAGGAGGAGAGGAGAACGAGAAGGAGAAGGAGAAGGAGGAGGATGAGGAGGAGGAGGAGGAGGAGGAGGAGGGAGGCAGCTCTGGCACGACGCCACCCCCCGACAAGAAGGGCACCGTCCCGACGCGGGGCGGGTCGCCGCCGCCCTCGAGGAGCAGCGCCAGCTCGGTGCCCGCGCCGCGCCAGTCGTCGGCGCGCTCGCGCGCGACGGCCTCGCACTCGCGCGTGGGGTAGAAGCCGGGCTGGCCGAAGCGGACCTCCTGCGCTTGTTGGCGGCGCGCAGGAGGGGGGCGCCGCAGGCGCCGCCAGGGGGCCCCACGGCTTACGCGTCGCGGCGCCATTTGGTCTGAATGCGTTTTAACCGACGAAGCTGGCGCCGCGGCAAGCCACACTGCAAACCTTGCGTCCGAGGCGGAATTCGCCCTGGTGGCCGCGGCGCCCGCGCCAAGACGGATGGCCGCGCGTCGGGACAAACGTCGCGGCAACATGTTTATGCCGTTTTTCGGCGGCTCGCAGAAGGGAGTAATTAGGGGAGGGGGGAAGGCTCCTTCGAAGGAGGCTGCTTCTTAGAGGGCGGCGGCCTTATATCTTTAGAAAAGGCCAGCGCCTTCTCAGAGGCAGGGGTGCTTCGAAGAAGCCTTCCTCCCTCCCCCTACCCCCCTCTGCGCGTGGCTGAGCTTGGGCCATGGGAGGTCGGGTATCCCAGCAACACTGTCAGACGGAGCCAGGGCGAGGATAGCATCGGGAATCGCTGAGATCCGGCGGCTCTGGAGGATGCCTCGGGCGCCGCGGCCTTCTCCGAGCGTTCTGGAACGCTCTGGGAGCGTTCCAGAACGCTCTGGAACGGATTTGTCCTCGTCCTGGCCGCGTCCAACAACTGCCTCCACACGCGGTGCGCACCAGAACCCGTGTGGGACAAGCGTAGGCATGAAGGGGGGACATGCGGGCACTTGCTATACGAGCGCACTGATGGCCAACGGCATGCCAACGACGTGCTACAGAGGACTACCACGGCGTAGCGACGCGACGGGGGAACACAAGGACAACCAATCAGGATGTAGAGGGAGAGGGCTAAACCGCGAGCAAAACCGACAGGAGAAAACACGGCACCGCGATAACAATAATAATAACAATACTAATAATGCGTGGAGCAGTCACTAACGACAACGGCTCTCTCAAAAACGCAACCAGTCGTGGCAGCGTGCAGCACGGTGTGGCCCCCCGTTCGCCGAATACCTAGCTCTTGGGCGCTCGGTACTCGGCGCCTAAAGATGAGCTTGTTGGCATGCTTGGGGCTTCGGGGCGGTCCACTCATGGCCACGGCTGGGCGCGGCTCGAACAACTTGTAAGGATTGTGTCCGGAAAGCGCCTCGAACCCTCGGCCTACCACTGGCAGGTACATTCAGTGCGATGGCAGATGCTGAGAAAGAGGCACGAGTGAACTGGAAGATGCAGGAGGATACGAAGAAGGTAGGAGGAAGAACACGAGAACGCGGAAAAGGAGGAGGCGGAGGAAAGGAAAGGACATTAACAGCAACAGTTGTCGGGAGGGGACATGGACGAGGAGCTTGGGGAGGAGCTGGAGAGGGAGAACGGCAAATATAGTAGTAAGAAGACTTCCGACCGCGCGCACACGCGCACGGGCAGGCTTGCCGTGAATCGGAAGACGCCTACATCAACCCGTATACTTTGGACGCGTGAAAAGGATGCAAGGGCCTTGAAAAACATGTCCTTATTGGCGCCAACCGCGTCATCCTGGAGAACGCCTCCGGAAATGCAACATATCCATTTCCGAAACTCATGGCTTTCGAAGGGTTACTGCGGCACAGTGGGCGATAAAAAACAACGATCTCGCTATCAAATAATTCAGCCTGGACAACCTAAAGAGCACTGGATGGATATGCCTGCGCTGCAGTCGACATGGCCCATGTCGACACTTTGCGGGCGGGGCGCGGCCAGCGAAAACGGCCAAGGATGGGCCGAAGGGGAAGGATGCAGGGGGTGAGCCCGGAGAGTTGTTCATCCTCGCTGAGAGGGTTGACTGTGAGGGAACGTGTCACGGGCTCTGGGACTTCAACGGACCCTCGCTGCCTCGTGACTTCCTTCCCTGGGACCTTGCAGGAGGGCCCCAAGGCCCGCGGCCCCTGCCCGTCAGGACTCAGGACCCAACCTTCTGTCAACTAAGAGACAGGGATCGAGGGAAAGAGGGGGGTGAGAAGAGGAGGGACGAGGAAGAAGGAGGGATGACCAGTGAGGAGAGAAGAGGGGGGGAAGCATGTTCTGTACGACGAGCCTCCTGGCGATATGGGCCCGCCGAGCAACGCGCCGCGAAACGGCCACTCGGTCCGCCCAAGGGGGGCAATCCCCAAGAGGATGTGAGGCCAACGTGCCCATCGGGATGCACCTCAGAACTCCAAAGTCTAAGCGCCGTCCGGCTCCATCTCAGGAAAGGCTGTCCCTGACGCATCTGCAGAGAACCACCCTCGGTGAAAGAAAGGTCCTGCAGATGGAGTCGAGGGCTGCTAAGTTTAATTCCAGCAAGGCGCCCATGCGAAATGCCAGGATAATGATGATCCAGTGCGGGGCCTTTGCGGAGTCATTCTCGGAGCCTCTTGGGCCGCATCTGGGTTGCAAGACAAACGCTGCATCCAAGACGCCGATGGGCTCGCCAACTTGCTAGTCAACTGTAGCTAAGACTGCTGACGTTCGAAGAAGAATCGGCTAGCACATTGCGTGACCGACTCGTTTCTGTCACGAGGAAGCGATATCTAAATACTAGCAAGATTGGAAGATATAACGCCGCAGCATTTCTACGAAAGCGACAACAGGAACCCCAAGAGCGAGAAAGGTTGCGAAGGCCTGCAAGTCCCCAGTTCCCCAATTATTCCATACTGGTGCAGGTAGACACTCACCTCGACAAACCGATCGCTGCACTGATCGAGCATCTGTTGACCTGCACCACATCTCGTCTTCAAACTCGCCGTTGGCACATTTGTTAGAATCACCGCACGGTCGCCTTGCACATGGCCGAGCGTCTCTGCCTGTGTGGCTGCTGGTTTAGCGTTTGTTGGCTCAGCGTCTGATGCGCTTGCAGTCAGCTGCCAACTCACATTGCAGAGCCAGAAACACACCATTCCGCTGCACAGTGCCCCAAAGTTGGGCCATATGCGTCGGTGACGCCACCGAGCATAACCATATATGCGGCGTGGCTAAACTTATTAGTTTCGCTGCATGGGCTATCGAGGAAACATGTGTTAACGAATAGCCAACATAACGAATATAACAGCACAGTCGTAACGCTTCCCAAACATGGCATAGGCGGGCGCAGCGGCAACACAATTATGACGACCAACGCAAGCAAAAAGATCTTGCCCCGCGGACGTACACGCCCGATGCCTGATTATGGGAACATAGCGCAATGCAAGGCAGAAACTCACCGTGCCAACATGAACACCTAATACCCTCGTCAAAATTAATTTCAAAAATGGCGACCACGCCCCTGCGATGTCGTCGCGCCCTTCAATGCTGATAGACGCCCCTCCAATGTCGGGGCCAAGGCAAAATGGGTCTGACCGGGAACGACTCGGAAATTCGATGATGACCGACATTGGAGGGGCGACGCATACAACTACCTCGCAGTCACCGCAACTCTGTCCAGTATCTCCCCACAAACAGTTCAGCCACTAAGACATGTTTGAGGTTACTTTTGACGAGGGTTGTAAGTAATGACTGTTCGACGTACCCTGGAGAATGCGCCAGACGGGCCGGCTTACAGCGAAGGCGATGCCACTAGAAAGCAGTATCGCAGCAGCCCGCAATGGTACAACACAGAAACCAGCACAGCACCCAGACAGTGCACATAAGAGAAGGAACCCAACAACTTGCTGCGAACCTTCGCTTCGGCTACACGCAGCGAGTGACCCTAGGCAAGAGTGACCTTCGGTGCGCGGCTTTGTTGGGGGCCGCGGGGTGGCAAAACACGAGCGCGCAAGACGCCACTGCCGACTCGCGTTCGGCGCTCGGGGGGCCCCAACGGGCCCGCACCAAAGGTCACTCCGGCGAAGGGTCAGTCTTACGCGTAGTCGATCACTGACCGTGGCAAGCGATGAATGACTCATCCTCGGGTCTTTCGCAAAAGCCTGACTGCGGGAATTGGCTTGGACATAAAGGGCTTTACCATGATAACAAAAAAACGATGTTGAACAAATGCTGTGGGCGATCCGAAACGGCTGGAGCCAAAATGGCTTCAGCCAACATGGCAGCGGGAGTCGTCCTGGGCCGACCTTGAATCCGTGTTGGAGCCGCACTGGGGAAGAGCTGGGGGCCTCTGGGAGACTGTGAGGCACGAAGTGCATGAGGAGACTGCTGAATTGGGACTCCCTTGCGCGGTCTTGAGGGCCAACTGAAGGCATCTGGAGATCCATTGAGCACGAGCTGCATGACGGGTGTGTCTTTTTGTGACTCCTCGAGGCCGTCTCGGAGGCCAGCAACTGGCCTGCGGAAATCCATAGGCACGAAATGCGCATGGGGCATCCCGACTTGTGGCTCCCTTGATCCGTCTTGGAGGCAAGCTGAGAGCCTCTGGGGGGCATGCAACACGAAATGCATGTTGATCCAAGTGTGTGCCGAATCGGGGTTCCCTGGAGCCGCCTAGGCGGCAAGCTGATAGCCTATGGGGGACCCAAGGGCAGAAACTGTGTAAGAGTTGTGCCGAGCTGTGCCTCGGCAGAAAGCCTCTGGGGACCCATGGGGCACGAAGTGCGTGAGGAGAGTGTGCCACATCTGACCTGGGACCCACCATCCGCAAACGGTGGCGCGCGGAGTGCACCAGGAGCAATCCTGGGACTAACCGTGGTCTGAACCTGGGACGCACCACCCTCGAGCAAACACGCATGGGACGTGAAACCGACCAGACTCGTATTCCAACGCGGGACCTGGTGACCATCCAGTGGAGGACTCTGTCGAGACAAACGCGTTGACCTTCACCAAGGCCCCACGGCGACAGCTATTAGGGAAACTCGCGACGTTGGGAATCGTCCTCCTCCCCGCCATCACCCTCGGTCCTGCTCCTCCTCCTCCTGCTCCTCCTCCTCCTCCTCCTGTTCCTGTTCCTGTTCCTGTTCCTCCTCCTCCTCCTCCTCCTCCTCCTCCCTGCTCCCAACTTCGGGGCGCCCGCCCAGCGCGCCCCCGCCCGCCCGCCCTCCACCCCCCCAAGAGCATACCGGGAGCTACGCCGCACGGAGTCACTGGGCGACACACCCGTTTTGTGCGCGATGGAGCGTTCCTCGAAATTTCCCGATGGGTCCGACGCCCACCGCCGTCCGCGGTGCAGGGAGGGACGGAGGGACGGGGGGGGAGAACAAGGAGGGGGGGAGATGAGGATACATGATCAACGAGCGCGCGGTTGCTGCAGGCCGCACCTAGAAATCGGAAACGAAGAACACGGAGGGCCCCAGCTGTCGCCATGGACGCGCGAGCAGTGCGGCCGACCGCATGGGCAAACGCCAACCTTTCCCCAAGCATATGCGAAGGTGATTGCCTCCGCACCGTCATTATCAACGAGCGCGCGGTTGCCAAAGGCCGCACCTCGACATAGGAAACGAAGAACGCGGAAGGGCCTTGCCGACTCCGCGGACGCGCGTAGCCGAATCATAAGCTCCGAACCCCAGCCTGAAAGATCGTGCGATTCCAAAACGCTCGATCGTTCAACGTCGACCGACTCTGGGTCGCTGGCGGCATTCAACCTTGAAAGCCAGCGGCGGGGTCGCCGCCGGTCGACACCACGCGAACCTACCGTACTCCCCAGACCTCTCCTGGGGTGCGTTCAGACCGGAGCTTCGAGGCGAATCCATCGGTGGCGACCAGGGCCTCCGAGGAGGCCCAAAAAGGCGAAAACGGGGCGAGGGTAGCGGAAGGGGTACCTTTAGGTCGGGCGTCTCCCTACAGGGGCATTTTGGACGACAAATAACAAATAATCAAACAAATGTTCCCAAAATGAACAAAACTACTCAAAGCATCGTCCCCTGACAATTGTTTACTATTTTTGGCTGTCCCCCTTGTAGAGGGACAGGCCCGACGTAAGGGTACCCGCTCCCCCTCTGACTCTCGCCGCTCCGATCATGGCGGGGCCGCTGGCGTCTCCTTCTGCGCCTCCGCCTGCATCTCCACCAGCGCCTCCACGCTCTCCGCGTCCAGCGCCTCTCCTGTGGGCGCAGGCCGTCGCTCCTCCTCTGCATCCCCCTCCGCTCCGAGGTCCTCCTCCTCGTCCTGCTGCCAGGACGGCCCTCGCCCGACTGATCTACAAAAGCCCAGGGACACACGCACACACACACACACACACACACACACACACACACACACACACACACACACACACACACACACACACACACACACACACACACACACACACACACACACACACACACACACACAACAACAAAAAAAAATCGCCGGCCCAACAGGCCAGAGGCGTGCTAAAATCTCCGGCAACTGGTAAACAGAATTTCTAGTTCGCGCGCGTGGGGCGGCCCCTGGGGGTCCGCGGCCGAACAGTACCCACCCCGAGCAGGTCCTGGGCAGGTCTTCGGCAAGGATCCATCAGAGATGGTTTTGCTCCTGGGCGCAGCCCTCAGGGCATCCCAAGAGCCCCAAGAGCGGCCCAGAGGCCCCCAAAAGGCCATCTAGATAGTCCTAAAGGCCTCAGGGACACGACAAGATCGCTCCAGGACGTCCAAAATGGCCCAAGATGCCCCAAAGAAGCTCCAAGAGCTCTCCAAGAGGACCTCAAAGAGGGCCAAAATAATCAACATATATTGATGTTCCTTCTGTTTTCCCCAACCATCCTGTGGTGTTGGGTCCTCGTTTGGAAGAGACAGCGCCCCGCGTCCCATCTCCTCTCCTCCCTCCGCACCCTCCATCCTCCTCCTCCTCCTCACCTTCCATCCTCCATCCTCCATCCTCCCTCCTCATCATCACCATTTCCATCACCATCATCACCATCATCATCATCATCATCATCATCATCATCATCATCAGCATCATCATCATCATCATCATCATCAGCATCATCATCATCATCACCACCACCACCACCACCACCACCATCATCATCATCATCATCACCATCATCATCATCATCATCATCATCAACATCATCATCATCATCATCATCATCATCATCATCATCATCAGCAGCATCAGCATCAGCATCATCATCAGCAGCATCATCATCCCACGCGTCCGTGCCATCCATTTCGGCACACACCCCACACGTGTCGTGGCCCCATGGGAAGCTCTACCGAAGACCCAACTGCCAGGATCGCATGGCACCGCCGCCTCAACTTCGGCCCACCCCTTATTACAAGGTTCGTGGCCCCATGGGAGCTCCACCGCAGGCCCCTGTGACAGGGCTTACATGCGTCCCCGCGACTCATTTTGGCACACCCCTCACACGGCTAGCAAGGTTTACATGCGTCCCCGCGATTCATGTCGGCACACCCCTCACACGGCTCCTGGCCCCATAGGGAGCTCCACCGAAGGCCCCAGTGGCAGGATTCACATGCGTCCCCGCGACTCATTTCGGCACACCCCTCACAGGGTTCGTAGCCCCATCCCCAGTGGCAGGGCGTACATGCGTCCCCGCGACTCATGTTGGCACACCCCTCACACGGTTCGTGGCCCCATCGGAGCTCCACCGAAGGCCCTAGTGGCAGGATTCACATGCGTCCCCGCGACTCATTTCGGCACACCCCTCACACGGTTCGTGGCCCCATAGGGAGCTCCGCCGAATGTCCCAGTGGCAGGGCGTACATGCGTCCCCGCGACTCATGTCGGCACACCCCTCACACGGTTCGTGGCACCAGAGGGAGCTCCATCTCAGGCCCCAGTGGCAGGGTTTGCATGCGTCCCCGGGACTCATTTCGGCGCACCCCTCACACGGTTCGTGGCCCAATGAGGAGCTCCACCCAAGGTCTCAGTGGCAGGGTTTACATGCGTCCCCGCGGCTCATTTCGAGGAAGAGACGCTTGCGCGAGGCCCCTGGAATTCTCCACGGCGCAAGGCACGGGGCTTTGGACACCGCGGGCCCCCCTCCTCCGTCTCATCTCCCACGCGGTGCTCGCAGCTGCACATGGTTGGATCCTTCGCCAGGCCAATTCTATGTTGTTCGCGTTCTCGCGTTTTCGAGCTTCCGACGCTCCAAGATGGCTCTGGAGACCCCCAAGACCGCCCAAGTCAGCCCGAGGGGCCCCCAAGAGGGCCCCAAGACGGTTCAAGAGGGCCCCAAAACGTCCCCAGAGGCGCCGAAGATCGCCCAAGAGGGTCCCAAGAGGGGCCTAAGAGAGGGAACACGAATCATCAACCAAGCCTTCCGCCCCAAGAGGACCCCAGGAGGCCCCCAAGAGAGCCCAGGAGGCCCACTGAAGGCCCCACGAGGCCCCCAAGAGGTCCAAAACGAGACCCCAAGCGACCCCAAGCGGTCCCCAAACGGCCCCAAAGAGGCCCCAAAAGGCCACGAACGCGCAGGCAAACGCCTGCGATGGCACAGTACAGCGGAATGAGCGAAGCAATGACATAAATATGCACAATTCCCAACATGCCCAATGGGTCGTCTTCCCCCCGACTTCTTAACCCCACCAGCCCTCTGGGCGCAGGTGGTCTAGGGCGTTTCCTTTTCCAACCTCCTGCCTTTCCCTGTTCGGGAGGTTTACCTCCCCCCCCTCCCTGCGTTTGGACGGGCCCCCCCGCGAGGTGGCAGAGGGTCCTTTTGGTCCAAGATGGCTCCAAGAGGGCCTCAGAGAGCGCAAGATGGCCTCCAAGATGGCCCAAAATAGCGGTAGATGGGTCAAGATAGCCTCCGGCACACGTCCAGGAGGCGTAAAGATGGCCCCAAGACGGTGCCAAGTGCCCTCCGAGGCCTCCGAGGACCCCCCCAAGAGGCCCAAATCCTTGAAAAACCTGAGGATCATCAATGTATTTTGCCTTCTCGCTTTTTCGCCTCCGATGAGCTCTTGAAGCTACAAGATGGCCCCAAGACGGCCCAAGATAGCCCCAGGAGGGGCCCAAGAGGGCCCCAAGACGGCCCCAAGAGCGCTCCAACAGCTGCCCAAGAGGGCCCCAAGACGGCACTTTTGAGCCTCCGAAGGGGCGATCCGAATTAGAACCCCCCATCTGTTTTAGTGAAAGGGCCCAAGACGGCCCCAAGAAGCCCCTCAGGCATCCCAAAAGAGCCCCAAGAAGGCCCCCAGACCCCCCAAAAAAGCCCCAAGAGGGCCCCAAGACGCCCAGAAAGAGCCCCAAGAAGCCCCAAGAAGGCCCCAAGAGGACCTCAGGAGAGCCCCAAGAAAGAGCCCCAAGAGGCCCCAAGAGGGGCCCAAGAGAATCCCAGGAGGGCCCCCAAATGCCTCCAAGTTTCGGAACGCACGCGAGTTTCAGATACAAACCAGTGCAATAGCCATTACGAGTCACCGAAACACCCCTCACCCCTCATCGAAGCACCATCGTAGCTTGCACTGATTTCCGTATTCAACTCCAATGCGGGAGGCTATTTGTGATGCTTGTTTTTTCGAAGACGTCTGCGCGACTGCATGCGTCCTGCCGCCCCTGATTCACCAACTCCCCTGCTGATCGTTTCTGGATGGGCTGGTGGGGATACTTTTTTGTTCGCGAACGCAAGCGGATGAGCCGCGCGCCGTCAATAAGATCCAGCGAAGACCTAAAAAGCAGCGGCCGGGACAGGGGCAAGGCGCGCGCAGCGACCGAGAAGGTTCAAGCAGCATGAGCAGTTGATGCACTGGATAACACGGAGTGCGCCTCGTCGCTCTGCGCATGCTCGGCGTGATTCGATCCGATTCGATCCGCTTTGCCTTGTGGCGGAATCGTGTTTGTGGTCCACACGTAATGCCAGATCGCAGAAGGCCACGCAACTACTTAAGAAACACAGTCTTCAAGCCCCTGGCAATAGTTTTTTTTTGTTGTTGTTTCTCTCTCTCTCTCTCTCTCTCACTCTCTCTCTCACTCTCCTCAACGTCGCCCCTGAAAGGTGCCAGTACTGCGATGACACGCGAGCCCCTGGCACATGTACACCTTCAATGCTCTCCGCTTCGGGGCGATCTGGATGATCTGGAGGTCAAGCAGGGAGGACATTCGACGAGGATGGACGGACGACGCAGTTCGGGACGGCTCGAGCATGACCCGTCCTCCCATCCTGATAAGCAGCCTCCTCGCAACCCTCCTCGCCCTTCCTCCGCCTTCCCATCATCATCCTGTCCGTCCTCACCCTCATTCTCGTCTGCTTCCTGCTCATCCCAGCGCGGCAGGTCAGAGGAGAGGCAAAAACAGCAGCAGCAGCAACGAAAGTAAGATACGCAGTACACTTGACAGCCACGTGTACGGAGGCAGCACAGGGCATTCAGCTATGATGACCACCTTGATACATGGACCACATGTCACCAGACGATTTGGGAACCTCATCGTGAGGTGGCGGCAAGCGCGACCACAACAAACGGTCTCCGCAAGACTCCACAAAGAGCGAGATGGTCTCGAGCTCGACGTGGGGGAACTGGCGCCTCCCCGCACGCACGCAAGCTACTCTATTCTAACCCTCCTCCCTCCTTCTCCGCCATCCTCCGCTTCCTCCATATACCCTGGAAGCCAACTTCCTCGTCCTCGTCCTCGTTCTCCTTCTCCTCCTCCTCCTCCTCCTCCTTCTATCCCGTTCTCTGCTCCTAGTCCTCCTCCTAGTCCTCCTCATCCTAGTCTTCCTCCTCCTCCTCCTCCGCCTCCTCCTCCTCCTCCTCCCTCCCCACAAGTACAAGCCGCCAGAGCAGGGCAGAACGCCTAGCGAGGAAAGCGTGCTGCAACGCGTGGACAGCCGCAGCCACGAACAGGACAAGGGACGCAGACGGCAGAGAGGAGATGGGAGAAAGCGGAGAGCAGCAATGAGAGGGCCTTTTTGACATTCACACTCAAGGTGGCCTCCCACCTCTAACGCGCAGGTCGGCTTACCCGATTGTCGGGTCGCCAGTGGGCCTCTGAAAGCCTCCACCGGTGACTTATCATCAAGACACCCCAGGCGGCCCAGAAAAAACGCGCTGGTCCGAGTCCTCCGAATCCACGGAACCAGCGCGAGCAGCTTGCTCGAGAGAACCGTTGTCCTCCTCTTCACGCAAGGACTCCAGGACCCTTTAGAGCTGCTCCACAGAAGGCGACTCCTCCTGATTGGAAGGGGTCGCGACTCCAACAAAACCCTCATCCTCCAAAAACTGCCGTCCTCTCCGAGAGGGGGTAACAACTCAGCGACAGAGACCCCGTCGAGCCCCCGCTGGACGCAAAAGGATCCTCGTCCAGCGGTCGCTCGATTGTCGGCCTTCCCCCGTCCTCTTGTCAACACGCTTTGCACGGCTTGATAGGAGGGCATGCCTGCCCGAGCGTGGCGCATGTTTTGCATGAAACACGAATAATCAAAAAAGGGCGGTCAGACCAACTGAGCGCAAGCAAAGAATGACCAACTTGTGAAATCCCCTCCAGCTCGGGAGGAGGAAGGGGCACGAAACAACCTCTCTCCACAGGCTTCTCTGCGGACCTGCAGAAGCGATGACAGCGCTCGCACCGCCAGATACCCCGCAACCAAGCCCATGAATGAACGGCCCCACGGGCTCGGGTGTCTACTGTTCAGCAGGGGGTGCCCATTCACACTTAGAAGTGTTTAGGTAGGGACACAGAGGCATAACATGTTCCATAATAGGACCAGATCGTCAATCATTTTCCTCCTCCGTCTTTGACGGCCAAGGGTGAGTGGCCGCTATGTTGGCCGCGATGTTGGCCGCGTCGTGACCCTTTCGTGAGACGTGGGCGCCATCGTGGAGAGGAAGGACATAAAGGCCACCAGGGAGGAGTCGCGCAAGCTGGCGAAGTGCCCCATGTGGAAGCCATCCACGCCAGTCACCGCCCCTGCAACGCGCGTGCAAGAGACCGCCCTGATCGCGCGGGGGCCAAGAAACTCAACAGCAGGAAACTACAAACCCCCTCCCCTTCCTCCTGCATGTCATGCCTGGCCTTCCAGAACCCCGAAAGCCCAGCCCCCTCATGGGCCACCGAACTCTTGGGATCAAAGAGAGACTGGCCCGCAGCCGAGAGGGTGGTGGCGGGGGCCCACGCCTCGGGGCACATGCCCCACCAACGGACTTTCTTTTCTCCGCCGTCGATTCCGCCAAGAAAACGAGACCTCCAGGTCTTGGCAGCCTCCGCCTGGGCCACCCCCGACAAGGGCCCAAGGATCTCCGAGACCCTGCGCATCAAATCGGCCCTTGGGGCCTCATCCAGGAAATCCTAACGGCCCTCGCCCCCCATCCATGATACTTGAACCAGACAGTGTGGACTCGTACTTGACAGGGCTGAGTACGATGAATTTGGAGCAGATCTACTTCCAGAGGATCCACCGTTGCCTCCTCCACCTCCTCATGGTGACCAGGACGAGGGGATCCTCACAGAGAGTGGTTTCATGGTGGTTGCTGGAGACGGAGCTTGTCCTGGACAGGCCAGTGATCAGCGCTTCCGCCGAAGTGGTTACGCACTGTACTACGGCCCTGACCACGCGATGAACATCAACATGCCGCTCACATCGGTTGCGCAAGGAGCTCAACGGGCTGAAGTTGCGGCGTTACGTTATTGGATCAGCTGGGCGTGGTGCCCACAGTTGTACTCGACAGACTCAGCATGTTGCGTGAGACTCACGACTGCTATCCTCAGAGGCGAAGTGATCCAGCCGAAGACCCACCGTGATCTTTGGCAGGCAGTTGCGCACGGCATCAAAGTGAAGGGGGCTGAGCACTTTGCTACTCAAAAAATACAGGCTCATAGGAAGGTGGAGAAGGTTACCGGCGAGGAGCTTCCTTTCTGGCAACACAACAAAACCGCAGACGAGGGAGCGGTGGAGGCGGTAAGAAGACACGCTTTACCAACATCAGTACTGCACCAGCATCTTCGCGATCACCAACTGGGCCACCTGCTGCCGAGCTCAAGGCACTGGGATGTGAAGCGCTGGATGGAAGATTTGAGCAGGCTCAGGCTTTTTTTTGCAAACTGAAGAGCGTAGAGGAGAGGAGGGTGGTCTCTTCCACGAAGACAAAGACGAGGAGGACCCCTGGGCTCACCTTGGCATGGGTCAAGGAGAAGAGGCGGCGGCAACCGGCAGTCTACAAGGCACTGGGCTGCATGCTACTCCGACCCCACAGAGAACGCGACCGTCGAGCACTCCACCAAGTACGGCAATGGCAATGGTGAGAAGACGCCTGAATGGGAAGCAGCCCGAGACAGTGCAACAAGCTGCTGGAGTTCAGGTATCACCGACCTCGACGAGCACACCTGACGGCCCCAACCTCACAGCCAACCCTCTCCAGTGGTCGCCCAGATCCACTTTTCCTGGCTACGGGTGGGACCCCAGTCTTGCCGAACGCTACCGACAAAAGAGGCAGCCGTCGGAAGTTCATCCCGAAGACAACGACCCGCCTCAAAGCTGAAGAATGGCTCTATCCACAGCAGATGTTCCCAGCTATGGTGTGGTACTTCACTCAGCTGGAATGGAGTCACGACGATGCTGAATTTTCCCCGCAGGGTGTGACCTGGATAGGGGTTGGCAATTTATTCCAAAATTGTGGCAGGTATCCTACCGTGCACGCCCAAGGAGAACTATGATAGTGTCACGTGGGAAAAGATGGGGAGATATTTCAGCACGGCTGCGGCAAGGCTGGTTAGAATATGTGAAGCACACATCGCACCCCGACCTGGCGTTAAGCTAGCGCGCTCATTGGCGCGACTTGGCGTGCGACCTGGACGTGGACTACTGTGCAGACCTAAATTTGCTGCCCATGACGACGCGACGAACGTCATTTACAAGACAGCCACGTCTGCGACGTCGCGCTCAGGAGCAGTCGTACCGACGTGGGGGGCCACCCCGAAGCCTATTTGGCAGCCGCCGAAGTTGGGCTCCCCGAGCTTGGCAGACGCCGCGGTTGGGCAAGCCTTAGGCGCGGTCCCATCACGAGTTAAACGATCCAAGACGGCAACGCCTATCGCGGCCGCAGTAGCAACGACGACATGGACCCGCGAAGAGACGGCTGCACCCCATGGCGTGCGAAGCCACGCCTTGCACGCCAAAGAAAAGAGACTCCTGCGCGCGATTGCGGCAGCGGGGCATGGCCACCACGTCCTTGCCCCCACCGCATGGTCCAGGACGCCGAGGATCAAGCGCATCAAGCGCGAGAGAGAACGCAACTGCTCTTCCTTTGCGAGTTGGATAAGAAAAGCTTGCCTGGGACAGAAAGGGAAAGGGCCAAAGTGCATCGCCTTACTGCCGCAGTACTTGCTGAAAGTGTACGAGTGCATAGCGCAAGTCAGAGGCCGAAGAGCCATCGCATCGAAGTCGACGCTGAGGGCAGCATGACATGCACACTGTGCGAGAGAAAAGCGGCAATGGGTAAGAACCCCGACTGCTTCATCTTGGCCACGTGCCTATCTCCATAGCTGTCTGGTGCTCATCTGTTATGATGGCTGGTACTTTCTTCTGGTTCACCAGCAACCACATCCGCAGCCCACTCTCTCGGGAAGCCCCATCGGGGCCCCAGGGGATGGCCAGTCGCTCCTCGGACGACTGCGCTTGCCTTCCGATGAGGGACCCACGCTCGCATCTAGGACATATCTATGGCGGGCACTGGTGAATTAATTCTTTCTCCTGGTGCACCAGCCTCCACATCCAATGCCCGCCCCTTTTCGGAATGGCCAACGGGGCCTCAGAGACTGGCAAGTCGATCCTTGGACGACTGCGCTTGCCTTCCGAGGAGGGGCCATGCAAATGCCTTGGGCAATCGTGCGTTGGGAACTGGTGGGTACTTTCGTCTGATGCACCAGTGACCAGATCCGACGCCCACTCTTTCGGACTGGCCAATCTTGCCTCTGGCGACTGTGCTTGCCTTCCGAAGAGAGGGCCGAGGCGGTAGCAGCATGCGCCCAAAGGACCGATGGAGAGCGACCCGCGCGGGTGTTCTGGCCAATCGTCGGGGGCGACTGCGCTTGCCTCTCCGAGAGCCAGGGCGCGCGAGAGCGACCCGTGAGGCAGTTCTGGCCACCTGTCGGCGGTATGTGCGCTTGCCTCTCGCGCATCCACTTCTCAATGGAAGCGACCCGTGATGGTGTTCTGGCCACCCGTTGGCGACAGGTGCGCCTGCCTTCCGCTGGGAACGGGGCCTCGGACATCAATGACCTTCTGAAGTTGTTCGAGGGCATCCTTCCCAAGAGGCTTTCTTTTGGGTGGTTGCTCGTGTATATGGTACATAAGTGGCTGGATTGTGGCTACGATCTTCAAGTGGATGGGCAACTACAGACGTTTGCCCTGCAATTTTGTATCACTGAGAACGTGTCCGAGGTGAAATACCCCAGTCGGTCCGAGAGTCGCGATCTCCTGGTAGATTGGCGTGCTATCCTGGAACTCGCGGAGATGCTGCTCCACTTCCATCGGCGGGCCCAGGAGCGACGCGGTCACCGCGCCCGCCCGACCAAATTGTCCACTCCT